AAAAATTCAAAGACATCATCTTGCATGGCCTGGACCACAGAGGAGAGCTTTCCTGAAGGAAGAGTTTGAGGAGTTAGGCTTTCCAGGATGTATAGGAGTCATAGATGGAACTCTCATTCCTTTAGCTGAAAAGCCTAGGAAGAATGGGTGGTACTTTTATTGTAGAAAGAAATTCTATGCTGTGAGTAATTTATTTATTAGAAACTCAAATAATATTAACAGATATTCTTATATTTAAGTTTGCAGTCCAGGCTGTGTGTGATCACAGAGGGTTTTTCACCCATTATGACATGGGATGGCCTGGAAGTGTACAGGATACAAAGGTTTTCAAGCAATCAGCTTTGTGTAGGCAAAGAAGACAATTCTTCTAGGATGATGAGTATATTTTAGCAGACAAAGGTATGATTAAAGTAGTAATATACTTCCAGTATTCTTCTTATTTCTTTTTCTAGGGTATCCTATCACAATGTTTACTATTAGGCCCTTTACTGAGTATGATATTACTGCAAATCGACTTGAGGCACACCAGAGGAGAGACTGGAACTTCAATCTCTCAAAAGTTCAAGTATGTATTGAACATGCTTTTGGAAGACTCAAAGGCTGCTTTCCCTGCCTCAGAAACCTTCCTGGTTATGATTTGGAGGCTATGTGGAGAACAGTTGAAGCATGCATGATTTTACACAATATTTTGCAAGGTATTGGAGATAATCCTACAACAATTGAAGGGTTCAATAGGGAGGAGGATGTTGATGATGCTGGAGAGAATGAAATGGATGAAGATGCTTTCTTGAATCATAGAGGTAATATTCCTATTGATGGTATAGGTGAAGATGATCTATATGCAGCAGGAATTTATAGGTGAAAACGTCTTGTTCAGTTATTCTCTATGTAAACTATTTCTATGCTCATATATTCCTCCTTCTGTTGCAATCCTCAGCCCCTCATACCTTCACACCTCATAATGTGTTGAGCACAAGTCTTCTGTACCTTTCTATGCACAGTGTTAATGTAATTGAGCTAGTCTGTAGAGATACCAATGTTCCATTTCGTCTCCATAGACAAAATCTGGCAGTTGCAGTGTCTATTTAAATATATTTCACACGTCTTCAAAAGGTTAATTGTCTTGTCATCTTTGCAAAATGTTAATCATCCACAGATTGACATATTCTAGCAGAGAAGTATTATCTGGCAATTATCTTGGAACGGATGGATCCTTGATGAATCCAGCACATTCTCTGAGGCACAAACTGATAAACAAGTCAAACAATATGTACAGAACACTGTAGTTACAATTAATGATTTGTCTACAATGGTAGCAAAGGGAAATACAGGCAGTACTGGCAGCAACAGTTGCACTATAACTATTCATAAATTATGGCCATACTCAACAGTTGTTATGTGTCAACAGAGTGTAAGATTGCATGCAAACTTGTAGAGAACGTGAATTACGTCCCACGTCTGAAGAACTTGTTTATCCTTTTCTGTACTGAAGTTATTGTGCAAAAGACAGTATCTGGGACTTGTGGTGCCACTGAGACAAAAAGACAGAGAGGAGCTGAAAGTGATATCAAGCAGTCTCTTCTGGAAGCTCTATCCCTTCCAATTCAGCTATCTCTCTCCTCAGTTTTTCTGCATGCTTCCAAGTGAATGGATCTAGGTAATCCAATGCAACATAATAAGCACACCACTTCTTGTTGAGCAAACAAGCCTTCTGTTCCTTGGATAGTATCTGTGCCTCTGTGGTTTTGTGTGCAAATCGTTCTTACTCCATCCTCAGACGTTCTTCATTGTGGCACAGTTTTTCATCATCACAGGCTGCCATGGTTTGCAGGGACTCACTAAATAGATCCTCTGTGTCTTCTTCTTCCCTTTTCCTTGCTTTTTTCACCTTTGAACCCATTTGTATTTCATCATCATCATTACTCATAGGTTTTTCAGATAATATATTAAACATCTTTACAATGTTTGGATGATTGTGTGCCCTGAAGAAAAAAAAAGTAAAAAAAAGTAAAAATATACAAAATTGGTGCTTACACTTTGTCAAGCATCTGAAAATGGATTGAGGCCTCGAATGCATCCAGCTGAGCCTCAGAAAATGAAGCAGCTGTAGCTGACCTTCCACTTCTCTTCCTCTTTTTCTTAGTATTGGTTTCATTGTTTAATGCAGCATCCTCAAGGTTGAGGCAGTCAATTCTGAATACATCTCTATCTCCACCTCCTGTGTGCTCCTGACAAGCTTGACAGGCTGTGAACTTTGACCACATAAGATTCATACATGATCTAACTTGCTTAGTAGTCTTATCAGTAAGGATATGCTGTGAAATCTAGGGACAGCAAGATGATTGATAAGGTCCTTAGTGTGTGACATGTAGAAAATGTAATTCACTCACATATTGGAAGTATTGCCCTTGTTTCACTTTGAAATCTGGCCACCAGGAGGCATCAAGGACATAAGACAAGAGAGCTGTCTTGTTATCATCTGTCCAACAAGCTCTCTCTGACATAGAGGAGGCAGATGTCTTGATATCAGCAGTAGCTTTCAACTTCAGATTGAGACTATCTGTTTCCTCATCAGATTTGCCTCCTTCTCAAGCATTGACACCAGATTTTGACCCCTGACCTTTCTTTTGCTTCCCTGCCAGTTTCTTCACTGTCTTGTCCTTCTTTACTTCCTTTGCCTTAGATTTTCCTTTCAAATCTTGTTTAAATCTTGTAATTAGTATAGAAACAGTAAAGTAATTGAAATTTACATACCAGGTGCTAGAATAGCCTCTGCCTGATCACCACTAGAGTCCAAATCCTCTACCCTATCTGTAATATGCCCTCCAGCTCTTCTTGGTGAGATTCAGTGACCTTGATTGTCAACAAGAAAATTCAGAGTGCTCAGTGTCTGAGGAGCTTGAAAAGGAGTGCCTTGATTTGCTGGAGAATGTCCTAGCATTGCTGAAGGACTTTGCTGGTAGAACTGAGCTGTATAGGGTGCATACTAGTACCTAGGTTGACTATTGTGAGCAAATGCATGACCTAGTGTCGAGTGTCTTTGAGGAGTATGTCCATATCCATATCCAGAGTGTATATAGTTTGGATCAAGCAGTTGAGAAGCAAAGGTAGCAGGAGTAGGACTATGAGATAAGTGCTGAGAATGTTCAGCAACATTTCCCTCAGGCTGAGAGCTGCCAGTTTGTGTTTCTTGGGACATAGCAAGGGTAAGACACACAGAAATTAAGCAGGAAATGGTATTATTTCTTAGTTCTATCTACTTATGGTAATGATCACCGTATTTTTTATTTTAAGGTCCACAGGAATGATGGATCAGCATACTTTGTAGTTCTCATTTCTAAACACTGTTTTTACTCCAATATTTTCTCCTTCCAGGCACCATTTGATGTGCTGAGGGCATAAATATTCGCCCTTTGTTTTTAGAATTGAGATGGGCTAGTGGTCAATTGAGATCCAGGAACGAGAGCGCATGACATAAGTTGTTTTCTATATCAGATAGCCATTCGCCTTGGCAGTGCTTAACCATGTCCATGTGCTGTCAGACCTAGCACTGACAACGCCACGCTGTACTGTCCCATTGCTCCTGTCCATCTCGCAGCAGCAGCAGCAGTGGTGGTGGAGGTGGAGGATGAGCAAACGGAGAAAGGTCGCGTCGTCGCGCTAATATTGACGAAACGGAAGTCAACAGCTCATTTCGGGAGAATCTTCATTTGGAAACTCGCATCTTCTGTCAGAGCATTTCGCAACCATCGCACATTTAAAATACAGTTTTCGTTGGGTTGTGAGTTTGATATCATGTCAAATTACACTGAACGCACGGAACCGCCTCAGCGCTGATTTTATACGAAATTATCT